CTGTCAACTCAGCTATGCTTTTCGATCTTCATTGCCTACCATATAGCACCCGATTCGTCTTGAGGGGTGAGACTAACCCTAAAATGTCTTATCGTATGAACGTATGCATGTACAAGCTAAATCAAATTCCTCAGCAGTGCGAACTGGACATCGAGTACATGGCGCATTCCGAAGGAATTACTTGATGGCGAGCATTTTATACCTTTCTCTACAATAACTATGGTGTCGTGTTTTCAAATTTTTTCGCTCTCATGTCAAACGTGCGCTATTTTCTTGTGCTTCGGCTCTGTGGTCTAACCGTTTCCATTTCAGATGACGGTCGGCAACGAAGTGAAACTGGTGATTTTCGACAAAGGATGGTACCCTGGTCGATTTTCATCGTATGTGGCTACCATGGGCCTGCGAATACGGTACAACTGTGAGTGCACTGGCATTATGGTTGGAGTTGGATTTTATGAAAGTGATATCAAACTCGGATTTTTAGACTAGAAAGAGCCACAGCACGACCTGTTGGACCAGCCGTCTACAAGACTCTTGGGGTGGATCCTATTCAAGGCAGGGTTAGTGGTTTTATTCTGTTAATCTATAGCATTCAATGGCTTGCAAATACAAGTATTTCTGGATCTTACTATCGAACATCCAGCATTGGAAAGCTAACTGCAGCAAAATGCAGTTGTGTTTGTGTCACTGTAATACTCCATATATGCTGGAGTAAAAGCAGATTTCTTGAATAACTATTTTTCCCAACGGTAAATTGTGCTTTAGCAGGTTTCATAGCAACTCATTTATCGGAAAAAACAAAAACATAAAAATATAAAAAATAAAATAATTTAAATAAAAATATCACCAGATAAAATCAAACAGGAGTATTTCTAAGATTAAAAGATCGAAAAAGGTGCATTCGCGCCTGAGGCGAAGCCTAGTTCTATAATACAATGACCCTTGAGGTCGGGTTCTGTGCTTGGTTTAGCGTGTGTAAGGTTTTCTTGCCGTCCAAGCTTTGTTTGAGAAGTACCAGACACTCGAAGAAGCGAACAGGTTGGACCAATCGCTGACTCTCCCTGTACAACGTCATAGTGGCTTCCAATTGACCATACGATTTGCAATGGAACGCCATTCCAGTGCATCAGTGGATGAAAAACTGACCACTCACCATTTTCGAGCCCCAACTTGAGACAAATATGGAGGCCCCGAAAAATCCTACGAGATGTAGGGCGGTGGTGGGGTTGCCCTTGACAAGCTTCAGCTTATGATCCGATCATTACTGCCACAGGGCTCTGAAGCACGTAATGGCAAGAGTAGCTAATTGAATGAACGTGTCACTCGGCAGAAAAAGTTCATTAGTGATATCACTTGTTAAGTCCACAATTGCTGATGACGAGGCTTCAAACCTTTTTTTGGTGTGCGCCTTTTTCACACGCCTACTGTCAGAACCATGGGAACGCTTTGATGGAAAACTGGCTTACATAATCTTTCACGAAAAGTGACCAGTTTCAAATTCATCCTAATTTTTTGGGTGCGCTGCTAAACTACCCAGAGCAAACTTACTGTATTGCGACTGAATTGATTGATCGTTCAATTGAGCGGGATTTGATTGCTAGGGTGTATTACACTGTCGGGTGTCCCCCAAGAGGCCCATCGCGCGGCGAAGGAAGAGACGCAGACGCGGCAAAGGACGAGTCGCAGCGCATACTGTAGCGGTTAGGCGTCAGGTTAAATAGAGTGTACCATACTACGTCTCATATCGCACAGCACGCGCTGCGACTCGTCCTTTGCCGCATCTGCGTCTCTTCCTTCGCCGCGCGATGGGCCTCTTGGGGGACACCCTACACTGCCTCCAGCCACAGTACCAGTACCACCTCGGTTCACAGTTCGTCCTCACGTCAAGGCTGAAACCGTTTCAGTTCTCGCTGGATCCTAAAAAAGCTTGCAAGAGTTGACTGAGGGTATGACCAAAGTCGGTGTTCCTTCCGATCTTTTTTCGCGCATTTCAAAGCTTTATGCTCCAGATTCCGCTATGCAGAGCGATTGCTCTACGTTTCATTATCTACTAAGGGACAGCATTTCGTACTAGATTTCTACACAGCATTTTCACGTCCACTCCATTCAACCATGGAAGTAACCTCTGCTTAACTCATCCTAAGGCATAAAGTTTACTTGAAGGCACTGATCGCGATGGCCAGAGTGCGGTGCGATTTTGATGACGTCATGGACCTCCTTGGTGGACTCACTCCTGAGCGCGCCGGGGATGTGGCCAGGACCACCAATTCATGCCCTTTCACCGATGACGTTCAATGACGTCATCGGAGTACACGCCGTCTTCATGATCACTTTGAGAAAATGGGCAGCTACTCCAGCGTTGGCTGTTCGCCCCCTCACAATTCACCGCAGAATCACAGAGAACACAATGAGGAAGAAAAAACGGCTGCGCATTTGAATTTCGTCTTCCCAGGACATTCGAAACGCGTGGGATCACTGGCGCTGACGTATGCGCCTTCTAGTATTTCCTTATTACCGACACTTATCTGGCTGCACAGATCTCATTTTTCAAGAATTAAATCTTTGCTCTGGGAACAGAAAATTTTGCAACGAGAAACTAGTGAATTTCTTCGATTCAGACAATGTCAATGAGTTTGTATACGCCATGTATTAGACCTCTACCCCAAATCTTCGAGACGATGTAACGCGAGCTAT